TATCAATTGCTATTCAAGGTTGGTTCCGCATTGAATGTGAACGCCTGCCTCCTTATTGCTCAAAAAATTTTCAGCTGCCTCTTCAGGCAGCTAATTAATTTGTAAGCCATCGTGCAAAGTGCTGGTGTAACTGATAAATGCTTATCAAACGTGATTCTAATTTATAAATGCGAGTTTTTCTGCTCGAATCATCAATTACGAGGAAAAACTTCTTCTATTTTAATAGAACCAAATGAGCTCAGTGATCACTGATGGATAAAGGTCATTCACCTTCCAGTTATTACATTAAAATTAAAAATCTTGGTAACTAAAGAGTCTCCAAGGTGTACGTCTCAAATGAATGAACAAAAATGAAGGCATTGATAGATTCTCAGACATTCTCAAATCGTGACATCGAATCCTATCTCGGAATCCGTTCAAGCTTGTAATCTGTTAAAATTTTGAATCAACAATGAATTCAGTATAATGTGACCTCCGAGGATACTAGAAACCTTAGACTTTCATTGAAACCAAAAACTCTTCTCAGATTCCCATTCATTCTTGAAAGATTTTCACGTCACTCTCATCTATCTTAAAGCGATAAGGTATTTCTTTCTTATTCTTTGCGAACAATAATCATAGATTTTCCGATTTTTTTGCAATTGAGTAGATTTGGTTGGTTGCTCTCCTGATTGCTCTTCATATTGATCACTCTTTAATGCATTCACTTTTCATTCACATAAATTCTGAGAATGTGAAGCACACAAACCATATTCCTAGTTGTGCTGGTATCGTGTTTGAAGATAACACGATGCGTTTTCGGACGTTTCGCATATGACGGGAGAGGGCTTGCAGCTATGGTTAGGGTCATCCTTAGGCTCGAGCTTAGGTTTAGACCTAGCCTGAGGTCTAAGGATGACGTCCGAAAAACGCCATGCGTAGTGTTTAATCTTCCAACCATTATGTACTCCAACCAATTTTCAGCATTTTGCAAGGACAAATACGAATTATTATCAGCAATGTTATCGAATAACGATGTTCAGCTGGATTGCAATTCACTCGATTCATCTGATAACCATTGTGCTCACAATTGTTGGTACACAGGTGCATAACATTCGATCGTCATTACGAGTTATTTCTCAGTAGTCATTAAAAGCCATTCCGTAATCTTTCTCACATCAGTAATCTCTCGACCAATCGATTTCAAACTGATCACGACAAAATTGCAGCTGATCAAACCGCGATTATTGATACCTCAACTTGTACTGTTGGTAGTACTGATTGGTTTTTATCTGATAAGTATACTTGCATTGATAACACTTAATCTTATTGGATTACGAATAATTTGGATAAGTTCGATGATCGCCATTCCATTCGCTTTTTTTACTGCGTTAGTTAACTTCTTTTGTTTAAAATTTCCTCAAATTTTGCTTCATCCATTTTGCATTCCTTTCCGACGATTTTCGGTCATTATTTTCGCCGCTTTGCCCGATTATATCTTTTTATACGTTTCTAATGTGTAGCATGCGAACAAATACTAAAGGATTGAAGATTCATGAATTTGAATTGCATTCCTTGAACACTCATCAATAACCTTTTCGAAGCAACTCAATCGTAGTCTGAAATGTGGATTGTTCAGGACAAATCTATATCTTTTGGTATTAGCGCATCGATTTGTGGCCGATCGACGGGAGGTTATCGAAAGAATACTGGCGAGTGCTAAGACGGTCACTTTTAAAGAGTCACGATCGCATTAGTGTGGATATGAAGGTGAACATTTGATGTGCGATTGATGGCTTCATTTGTTCATGTCCTCATCAGTTTTCATTTTTGACCTGACCTGAATAAAATATTATCCTTATGTTCCCCATTCAACCGCATTACAACCATACAAAAACACATCTTGCAATATCACTTAATTGCAACCAAAGAATTTATTCTTCAAGGCCATTTCATCAATAGTTATGCAACGATGTTTGGTGTAAAATTTTGATAGAGATGTTTCATTTGAATAGGAAAACTCTTAAGAAATACTCAGTGAAGTAGTGAGTGTGTTAAAATAAACAGTGAACATTAGCACAACGATGTGATAATTACTCACGATCAGTTGTTTTTGATCTTATGTCATAACATGTAACACGAACCCATCGATTCGTTCGTTATTTATTGGTGAGTTATTGAGGAGTTACCGACTACGAAACCAGTTTCCCTGCATGATATTTATGAACGTACGAATGAATGCAATGGTTACAGACGGCCGAAGCATAGCAAACAGCTAGCTATTCCATCCCAAAATACATTATGAAAGTGAATCATCTGAAGTCCCTCCCTCTCTCCTCATTTCATATCATATTATATCACATGCATCTAACTAGCTGGAGATGGCTAGGTTGGTTGGATACATCAGCCTTTTAGCCTACTTAGCGATAGGTGTTATCACTGATAAGAGTTTAACACTGTTCAGTAGGTTTCATGAACATGAATGTGTTCAATATCTGTATCTTTCGACTGTCAGCTGATCAATGCCTTCCTTTGATGACGTAGCGAAACTGATTCACGATTCATTGTTGTTGGTGTTTGGAAACGAAATTTTGCGCTTTGAAATCAGCAAATGATGAAATTCCACTGAAAGAGATAAAAACGATATGATTCATCAGCATTTCATCAGTCGATTCGAACGTCATTATAAAATGAGTATTTAATGCGTNAGTATTTAACAACACTGACTCATGATACGTTTGCGTTTCTCCGCATTATTCTTTTATCATTGTTCTTATCAAGTTGAGCTGTTATCGAACATCATCGAGTCTTTATTTTTACAAATTCTTTGCGTCAGTGCTTAATCCCGGCTTGGTTTACGCCTAAAGCATCGTAGAGCAGATCATCCAGATAATTAATTCTTCAAGAGTGAAAGCTTCGAGTCAAAGAAACTGGCCTCAACCCAATACCATCGAGCTTTTTATTAAATAATCATCAATTGTTCAATTGATTAAACCATTCCAATGATGATTTTGAGTCGCTCCTTTTCTATCAAAGGAAATGAAACGAAAATGTGAATTCATCAATTTTTGATTGAACTGAACGAATAATTGGGAAAAGTGGGTGGAAAAATTCAGTGTGGAAATTGGATTTTATTGAGTAATATGAAAGTAACTGTGAATGTTTGATTTGTTAGTTGCGTTGCTAGGAGATTAGTTTTATTGACTTTGCCTTGCCCTTATGAACGCAAAGACGTATCTAAGTTGGTGATATTTGATATTACTTAAACTCAGCGTTGTACGTCTGTAGTGTATGAAGCCATTCATTTTTGCTGCTTATTTATATTTACTTTGAACGTTCATTTCATTGCACAAATATTACTTTCAATTTCCATAACCAGTTTTTCGACTGTTTTCGAACACCGAAAATCATTCGTATTGGACAATTTACATTGTTTCCATCGAATCTGGAGTAGTTCGAATGTTATTGAGAGAATTTTCACAGCTAGAGTGTTTTTTTTACGAATGGAAACTTATCCTCATCAACCAATCTAGTCATTCAGTTGGAGTATTGTACAAAATGTGTTTAAAGCAAACGAAATCGCTCACTTAAGTTGAATGTCTGACATGTTTACTAGTGATTTAATGTAATAGTGAACGAAAACAAAAATAGTCTTAATGTTCAAAAAACTGCGAATGCTCATTTCCCCATAATATCCTCATGTTTCTCATCTTTCTCAGTTCATCCCAAATACAATTACTTTCGCATGATTCATCCATATTTATTGATGTTCCTCAGTTTCTGGATTTGTTCCACGAATGTTCTCTGTTTAATCCTCGATCATCCATCAACAGCAACTATTCATTCATTTGTGAATAAGCTGCATTTCTGTCTTCCTGTCTCTCGCAGTACCATGTGATCCTATATCCATATGCATGAGGGTATATCCATATACTGACGAATAAGTGAACATCAGCAGCATAAGCATAGCATATAAGCTAGTTATAAGCTAGAATGATACGTTAGTAAACATTAATGTAGCAATGAAACAGAACATAGCAATCATGTGATTGTGATTCAACTCGTCAATTGTTTACCACGTTCAATCAATTCCACCTATTATTGCCAGCCGAATGTTGCTTATTCGAGCAAAAGTATCGATTCATGACGTTCTCGACAAAACAACTGATGAAATAAACAGCCAAATGGAAGCAGTTGAGTCAGCTAGCTTCCTCTCTTCTATCCACTCTCAGCCTGTCTAGCTACTTTAGATTGTTATTCACAAGATGTTTTTTGTTCCCTTCCATCCAATTCCATTAGTCAGATAAATAATTCTGATTGTGGTTTATATCTTGAGAAGAGTATGCCTTTCAGTGTGTCTTAAAATGTTTTTATTGGAGATTCTACTCACGTATTCGATCGTTTATTGTTTCATTTCGTTGAATATGATAAGGATGTTATCAGTAATACCATTATTTCATTATCGCCATCCAAATGACTATCGTTTATAGTAATATGATAAGTGTTATTCGTCGCGGAAAGGGTCCCCGTCGTTGTTCGTGACGGGACCTCTGAACACCTTGCTCTCCGACTAGGTGCCTCTCCCCACCTAAAAAGTTGTCCTCTAGTAATTTTTCTCACGTTCATCGCAATCGCATTCATTCCGTTTGATCTGCCAACCATACTGCTGACCTCTTATCTCTGTTTGTTTAACTTTATCAGGCGATTAGATCAACCGAACCGGTTCAATATATTAACACACTTCGTGATAACAATTTATGCACTTCCCGCGATTATCAGATGCAATTTAATCGCTCAAATAATCCGATAAAACAGCTGAAGTGAATGAAGTGAATAAATATTCTGTTTAGAAATGGCAGATTCTCGCAAAGTCAAAGACGGTACGTTATTACGGTTTAAGAGTGGTCTTTTGAGTAAGAAATGGAAAGAATGCTATGTGGTGCTGTTCAGTGATTCAACACTTGCTTGGTACGACAAAAAGGTTATTATTTATAACTGACTAACTCGTTTCTTGACCTCAGGAAGCAATCGCTTTGATAACATCAATTGTCTGATTCTATGATATCATCAATTCGAAATCATCTTCTAAAATCTGGATGTAATTTCAGTCCGATTCTCGACCGATTGACTCCGTTTTTCTCAAAGATGTTGTACCTTACATTTGTGTCGGATTGTTATGCGACAGAATGCCTGGTAGGTAAAATTCTGATCTTCCTTTATCAGTTATGAACAAAATCAACGCTAGGTACCAGAACATTTGTAGCACCATTCAATCGAGTATATCTTTAGCCTCAGTTCAATAATTTCAGTTCGTCGCCCTCAACTTCCAGACAAATATTCAGTGCATCATTTAGTGGGAATCGGTATGGATCCACAAGCCAGTAAAGTACACTGGTTCTTGTTCTCGTCAGACTCCGATCTCGAGTATGCTTCCTTCTCGATACAATACTTTTAACTGTTCACAGTTCTGATCTACCACATAAATCAAAATTTATGAATGTGCAATCCAAGCAAAAATATCCAAGCAAAATGTGCAATCCAAGCAAAATGTGCAATCCAAGCATTGTGGTCAAGCAAAAATATCACGAATATTTACAGTTAATGAACTATCGAAAATTTTATAATATCGCTATCGGAATTTGAGTATTACCTGGATTACCTGGATTGGCCAGGCTATCAAACGTTTGTAATGTTGCTGGCCACAATGCTAGCGTTTCCGTGCACATTGTTTTAGCCTCAATTTACGCCACCCCGCTGGCTAGGCGAGCAGGCCGACCGAACACAACCGAGTAATTAACTAGTTGCCATGAATTTGAGAATTATTCATACAGTATACGCTATTTATATGATAATACTGAAAATGTGTTGTAGTGAATCATCAAGCCTGTTCATTCATTCCAGGTCTTGGTTCACTGAAATCACGAAGACTCTTCCAAAACCTGCCAATCCACCGCCTCAAAATGTACCATCTCAACCTCAGCCCGCTTCAGGCGCAGGAGCGCCACCTCCAGCCTATAGTAAGTTGGATTGTTTGATTCGTGCTGGGAATTTTTGAAAAATGGTGTTTGCGATTCTATTTTTAAACGTGTGAATTATATTAGATACTATGAGCATAATATCATATTAGTGATACGATATTATTCACTGACATTTTATTCGTTTATGTTAATCGTTCAGAATTATAAACCGATTTGAAGTGATTTCGATTTTCAAAGTGAGATCTCCAAAGTGTTGATTTCAGATCCGCCAGCTGTGTATCCGAACGCACCTCCACCCGTTAATCCACCACCACAATATCCTGCACAAGGCGGATATCAACCCCAGGTTGCTGGCTACGCAGGNCCAGGACCAGCTCCTGGTTATAATGCGCAGTATGGGGGCGGAGGACCAGGATATGCTCCGGGAGGTGCTGGCTCGAATACGACTGTTATTATTCGGGTAGGTTAACGAGTTTAGTTGAGTTTTTTAATGAGTGGTTAATCTTTACGTCAATAAGGATTGAGAAACGAATAACTGCATGTATGTATGTGATTTATCGTCATATCTTCAGGATGGCGGCGGTGCAGGGTATAGCAGTCCAGGACGTAGCAGTGGACCTGGATTCGGGACTGGGATTGGTACAGGTCTTTTGATGGGTTCACTATTGGGGTATGGATTGGGTAGCTGTTGGGGTGGAGGACTCTATCCGCGTTACGGATTTGGCGGAGGAATGGGATATCCAATGGGTATGGGAGGTGGTTACGGTATGGGAGGTGGTTACATTCAGGTAAGATTTTTTATTTAAACTGATTTTTTGGATTCAGAATGCCTTTCACCGATTTTGGCATTTTTATTGATCGTGTGAGGGAGGGCAAAAGTTAGGACACTAGTATTCTGAAAAGATAGACATATCTAATTAGAAGACAGAGAGTGTATTCGACTCATTTCCAATAAGTCTATCACTTAAGTCAAGGATATTTTTCTGAAGTGGATAGTGTAATTTGAATATGAATGCTACATTAATGATATTGGTACATCAGTCGGTCTCGAGCAAAATTTTCCTGCGCGAACGGTAAGGAAAATTTTGCTGGAAACCGAGTGGTGTACCAATACCATTAATGTTGTGAGCCTAAGCCAGGCTATGATCCGGCTTGTATGTGTTATCTTATTTTGAATGCTACATTTAAATGTGAATGTGAAGATGCATCATT